GGTCGCGGGTTCAAGCCCCGATGAGGCCATTGGATTTTTTTCAGTTGACCTAATCCTTCCTGCCGCACTATGGCCCTGGGGTCGACTCAGCCTCTAACAGAAATGAGTACCAGGAATTAATTAAAGAATTTTCCTGGGGAGTAAAGCGCGGCCGTGCGTAAGGCTGACAACCTTACCGCCATCTTTGAGCTGATTGTCAAGACAATGTGGGACCCTCAACGTCTCACCACCCTATGGGCCTTCACGGCCTGGTACAGGGATAACTTTACTTTACTTTAATGGTTGAAAAATATTTATATTCATATTTTAATGATAGAAGAGCATTAACTTTGTAGGCTGTCTATGTCATCCATTCCTCATATGAGTAACTCTGAGCAAGTGCCTGAGTGCATCAACTGATCAAGCCTACACTCTCGCTGACTTTTCCTTGAAAGACCAAATATTCGCATGCGATGCCCGGGATGGTGTCATTACAGTGGCAGGGAAACATATACAGCATATGAGGCTGTAAGGGGAGACTGTATTATCGCCTGAGGTTCGGTCGCCCTTGCAAACGCTCATTTCCTCTGAAAGTTGCTGCTTTTAAACGTGCTGTATGAACAACAGAGGACATCATATTCATGATGACAAGATTACAAGGGATAGAATCTCGCTAGCGTGATGCGCCAGATGTAGAGGCAAAACATGAGCTTAATGTAGGTTTCCGGGTCGACCAGGTTCTGTAGTAAAGATCGATCAATGGGCGTTCAGAAATCAGTCTGAACGGTTCATCGGGTTGGCTTCACATTTGCCTTTTGTGTTATACTATATAATACATCATACAAACCCTTTTGCGAGTTAGAGAGAAAGCTGGTCCATGACTAAACGCAGAAACGAGTTAGTGGGCTGTATGTTGTCCAGCTTCTTGTCTCGTTATCAAAATTCTGGAGCAGATCACAATATGCAGACAGCTAGCATGTCGTTTCAATTACTAGAAAAACAAACTATCCGGTGTGTACCAAATTTAATAAGTATAATCAAATTATATATATTTCACCCCATTTGGGACATCCTCAGAGGCGTGCTAACGAGACCTTTACACTTCTTGGTAGATTCGAAAATGTTGTGACAATGGTGTATCACACTCAGAACTATTGGTTTTGAGACTTTGTCCATTGTCCGGTATTCTAAAAACTAGAGAAGAGAACGTTTAGAAAACTGGGTTTCTTTACGTCGTCAGGTGAGAGGGAGACAACTGCTCTGGTGGGTTGCTTAGAAAGAGCAAACAACTGTCACTTGACACCCCATGTCTATAACTACAGCTGTATAAAAACCCGAGACCAGGCTTTGGCAAAGGGAGGTAACAGGGAAGACGTATAGTAAAAGTTTTGATAAAGCAGGCTCAGACTTGAAACTAAACCAGAAAAGAAGGCGATATTTTGCCAGAAAACTGGATAACAAATAAAATCCATGGAAACAACTGAATAGTATTAAAAATGTTTCTCCTCCCTTTGTATTTTAGTTTCAGGTCTGTGCATCTTCTATCGTAATTGCTACTGTACATTTTTCCTGTTATCTCCCTTCAACATAGCCTGGTTTCAGGTATTTATATTGTTATAGTTATAATGAAATACGTTGTCCAGTGACTGAGGTTAGCTCTTTCTAAGGAATCCAACAGAGTTGATGTCTCCCCCCTCACTTTAAGATGGAAACAGGCCCGGTTTCAAAAACGTTCCTTCTCCAGCATTTTAGAATACCGGATGATGGACAAAGCCCCAAATCTGGTTAACTCTGAGTTTACACTTGTTGTAGTTTTTAAAATACGGTTTAGTCATAAATCATAAAATATTTGTGGAAAGGTATTTCCTAAAAGGTTTTACAGCAAAAGTATAATTCATTGGGTCTTCCTTGTATACAGCACACAAGCACCATAGCATATCGTACGTTCTCTTCCTTTTTACACGGCCTTAGTCTCTTTAGGTCGTTGCTTGTTACCAAACATGCATCTGCGAAGATAACGCACATATAGAAAGAGATATTTTTGGACATTTGGCATGACAAAATCCGCGGCAAATACACACTAATCAAAGCTCAGCCACGACACCATCTGACAGTACAGGTTTTCTGAGGTTTCAGTTAGTTTCTCCGGCCTCATGCCAGGATATTACCTCAAATTCCCCCCTCCACGGGTGCCTCCTTTCACATCCCTTCCAATTCATTATTCGCTGCCATCTAGTCATTCGACGGTATATAGAGTGGCTCCAAAGTCAGTTAACCTAAAATATTCTCTCGTATTAACGGGACTGTTCAGATTTAAACCTGCCAGGCAATATGTAGAACGGTATCACAGCGTTCTGAGGTGTGTGCTGGATATGGATGTTCTCATCTCGAATAACTTGGGTAAATTAATGAAGTATTATATATAAGGAAATGTCAGCTTATTTTAATGTGTATTTTGTTAAAATTTAAGTGAATTCTGGACCACTCTGTAGGCAGGGTCCCTGATAGAGTAGTTAAATAAATATCGAAGAAGTAAACAAAATAAATAAAGTAGGAAATCCAATTATTTGTAGCGCCTGTAATGCACATGGGAGCAGAGTAAGTCGAGAAATGTTCGCTTGTGAACCAAAGGTCGCGTAGGAATTGTAAAGAAGTGCGAATAAACCCAATCATCAACTCCAGAACGGCAACTCCGAACACGTGACATTGTGAGTATGAACCTCATAGTGTGATAGTGCGCAGTTTCCGCTGCCACTCGTCAGTGCGCTGGTCTCCAAACTGCATGCAATGACGCCCCTTCAGCCTATCACAAATTTCGTCACTTTTCTTCACTCTTTTCGTGTGTGTAGAAAGATTTCGGTTTTTATTTTTAAAATTAACATACTTTTAGGTTTTACCTGTTAATATCTGTCAGGATTTTAAAATGTTATGAATTCTGAATTACAATGAGCTGAGTTTTACTACACAATTTTTCCAGAATGTCCCCCCCCTCCCTACATTTGGAAATCACTCTACAGTGCTTTGGCTGCAGTTCGACTGCTGCTCAGAACGTAACCTAAGACACTCCTCTAGTGGATTTCAGAACTTTCAATAATAAGAATTATACGGCATAATATGTTTGTCCGTACATACGAGTCTAGAAGCTCATTTAAGCCTTTACAAAAACAGTGGTAACCATATTTACAACTTGCCCAAATAGTCTATAACAGAGTAGTTTGCATACAAAAACAGGGATTGACTGTTTGGTGTTAGTTGCAGACAGACGACATTTATCCTTGGAAAATGGAACAGAATTTAGTCTGTATTAATTTCGCTATAAACAAACTCCGTGGTTTTAGTCCGCAAGCGAACTATAACGACCGAGCGACCGCCACTTGTCGACGACGTTAGTGCCAAATTTACCGGATAGAGGGTGTCACGTGATCAGCGTAACGAATCCCCACGGCCTTTAATATCGGTTTTCTAGACCGGAGCTGCTATTTCCTTGAAATAGCTCCTCAATTATCCTCACGAGGCTGAGTGGACGCCGTTCCAGACTCACCACTTCACAGAAAATCTGGTATCGCTGGGAATTAAACCCAGACCTCTGGATTTGTAGGCAGGAACTCTGACCACTAGACCACAGAGGCGGTCCTACGTAGAAGTAAGCTTAAAATAGCTAATTCGCTTAAAAGCAACACGAATCCTGCGCTCACAATATGTCTACCCGTATGAGGGCAGTTCCAACAGAGCGCTGAAGTCTGCCTACCGCTTGCAGGACAAAACAACCTGTCACTGCCCTCGTATTGTCACATGAAACAGAAGCAGTACTTTGTGCGTCAACATGTCTGACATGCATACTTCTGAGTTTGGTAAACATTGAGGAAGGGAATTCTAAATATTACGTCATGTAATTTTTCACTGATTCAAGAAATGCGAAGTACGAGTAACACGTAACTATGGAGACCAACGTGTGGGAGCGAGGAAGACAGAAAGGAACAAACTGAACATGTCGGACACGCCGTTTTCATGGTACTGATGCAGTCCGCCAAGATATTTTAAATGAAGTTAATACTTTTATATATACAGTAGAACTTGGTTATAACGTCATCAAAGGGACCTAAAAATAGTGTCGTTATAAACGAATGTCGTTGTAACCGAAATGGGCACTTCCACAGTAGCCTTATGTTAGTCACGTAAAAATCTACCAAAAACCGAGTTAAAATGTTGCATTTTTTAGTGAAATACGTAGTTAAGTACAGACTAACGTAACATTTACGTGGAATTGCCCAAATGTGTAATATCAAAGACATATTACAGCGCTTTTCACTGACAAAACACACCGCACTAATACTGTATATTAAAGGTAGCTCTACTCACCAAATTACAGTAGATTACATCAATTGTTGTGCCTTACTGTACCTAGATAGGAGTACAGTACTCAGTTATCTTCATCTGTTTCCTGTTACTTGCCCAATACACACTTTCTAAATTACGTTCAATGTCCATATCAGAGAAATTCAGGAATGAAAATGACGTTACATACGAGGTTGATGCATTTGTGCATGTCGTACTAAGCAAGGTATAAAAACAGTTGCTTTATGAGGAATTAGTTCGTACCATTGAATATTTGACGCAATAGACAAGGTGTCGCAGAAACCGATGTTGCTATAACCAAGTTTTACTGTACATATAAATCAAGAGGACAATTATTTTCAAGGGTTAATCAAAGTTTGTGCTGTTGAATGACGATACCAACCAAAAATCGAATCGAAATCGAGCGGCAGCAGTGTTTCTTGCTTCGATGAGGTTTGCGGAAAGAGAATCATTGCTTTACATGGCGTGACTGAAATGTAAGTTTGCTGTCTCATTGCTCTGCTTGCAGATGGAAAACCTCCGGCAGAGAGAAGGGGGAGGCAGCCTACTGCGAGCGCTGTTACTGCTGTTGAAACATACATTGAATCATTTCCTGTGAAGTGTCACACTGTGAGTCACAAACTGTAACGTATTTAGATAGCCGTTTAGATGTCAAGTAAATTTACCTTCTTCTCAAAAGCATATACCATGACTGAAAAAGGTTAAATATGAGTAACACTTGAAAATATTCCGCGAAAATATTGAAATGTGTAGGATTTAAGAAGAACAAGAAGACAGAAATGTTCGTATTGATCTGCGTTCCGGTAGGCTTCAAGTTTACACATATTCGATTTCTGAAGGAGTAGAAAACAGATTAGAAGCGATTTTTAATGATAACGACACATGTTACGACTGCAGAATTTTGGTACGGTAGAGGAGTTCTGTACAGTTTTGCAGCGCTATTAAAGAAGTGCGCCGGTCACGGTAGTCATGGACTGTCTTCGCTCGGAAGCCGGGATCGTGAGTTAGAATCCCACACAAAGCATGACAGTTTGGTGTGTGTATGTGTTTATTCTGTGTTTGTATTTTCCTGTGTTTAGGTAGAGGCCTTACGACGAGCTGATCACTAGTCCAAGGAGTCCTAGCGTCTGTAAAATGACAATGAAACTGAAAATCAGAGGTCAGGGTCCAGGGAGGGTTGTAGAGCCAGTGAAACAAAAAATAATAAAGAAGTGCAAGTGGAGAGTCAGTAACGGGATGACATACTCAGAACACGTTTCGGATTTACGTATAACCTGCCTCTTCCCCACACACACGCAGAGGAAGTTCCATGCTGCTGGCAAATGTCACTTAATTCGTTTTGAGTCATCTAACGAGGCCTGCTCTTTCCTTGCCATAGACTTTCCAAAAACAGACCGAACGAAAATCTCAGCGTATTGTATGTATTCCAAGAAGGTCACCTGAGGTAAAACTGTTGTTTTCTTTCTTTCAGAAGGTTATCCAGACCAAAACAGAAACCGCAGAATTATGATATTTTTGATGACGAATGCTGGATCTCGCAAATTGCAGTACAGTAATCACGGGTTTCCTATCCACGACAATTCTTACCTTCCTTGTGGCTTGGAATTCGTCATTGCGAAGTGGCTGGTAAGGAAAAAGGAGGTTTACATTCCAGAACAGTACAATGAGATGGTTAACTAACTAACTTCATGGAGATGAGCCCTTCTTGAGAAGCAGCCAATTATGCAACTACTCAAGAACTTCCCAGCGTTTTATGAAACCCGAAGGTTCATTACCGTGTTCACAAGAGTCATCACTGGTTCCTATTCTAAGCCAGATCATTATAATGTATACCATCTCATTATCATCTCTCTCTGATCTATTTGAACACAGTCCAGCCACTTATGTCCTTGTCTTCCTAGTAGTCTCTTTCCTTCTCGCCTTCTCACCAATATCCTGCATGCATTCCTCTGGCACCCTACTCGTGCTACATATCCTACTCATCTCATCCTCCTTGACTTGATCATTCTAATCATACTTGGAGAAGAGTACAAGTTATGAAGCTCCTCATTATGCAGTTTTCTCCAACCTCCTGTCACTTCATCCCTCTTCAGTCCAAATATTCTCCTCAACACCCTCTTCTCAAACACCCTCAGTCTATGTTCCTCCCTTAATATCAGAGACCAAGTTTCACACCCATACAGAATTACAGGCAAAATTATAATTTTTATATATTCTAATTTGTATGTTTTTGGACAACAGACGAGAAGACAAAAGGTTCTGGACTGAATGGTAGGAAGCATTACCCGAGTTTAATCTCCCCTTAATTTCCTCCTGAATCAGGATTTGATTTGTTATAGTCGTTCCCAAATATCTGAACTGTGCCCCATTTTCAAAACATTTGTTACCTATCTTTATGTCATGATTTTGCCCTGCATTATGGTGAAGAGGCAGCAACATACTATACTTAGTTTTCTCTGTGTTTACTTCTAGACCAACCTCTTTACTTGCGTCAATTAAAATTTCTTATGGTATCTACATTATCACCCAGTAGATTCTCATCATCAGCGTAGACTAACAGCTGATGTGTCCCATTTAATTTCAGTCCTATCTGGTTTTCCTGGACCTTCCTAAGTGCATATTCGAAAGCAAAGTTGAAAAGGTTTGGCGATAAAGCATCTCCTTGTTTGAGACCATTCTTAATAGGAAAATTATCAGAAAGACATTTACCTATATGGACTTTAGTATACATTTCATTTATATACATTTTAATCAGCCGACCTATCTTCATAGATATCTCAAAATCTATCAGAATATTGTACAGTACTTCAACAGAATCATAGGCTTCTTTGAACTCTGTGAATAGCTGTTGAATCGTCTCATTGTACTCCCATGTTTTCTTCAATATCTGACGAATGCAGATATCTGATCAGTAGTTGATCTGTTACCTCGAAACCCACACTGAATATCCCCAATAATTTCATCTATATATGGCCTTAGCCTTGAGAGAAGAATATTAGATAAAACTTTGTATGAAGTTGATATACCTTTTGAATTTCAACCTCAAATGGGCTAGGACCAGATACTAACGGCTCAGCTGTTTGTATTTCTATCTGCTTAAAGTCACTCAGTAACTGAGGGAAGTTGTTCTTCTACCTATACAGTGAGATGGTTAAAGAAATCAAAGGCACTGAACAGTTTTACACTCAAAATGGTTGACAGAAAGTTAATATTCAATTCTAGATGCATCAGAAATACTTTAGGAAGAAGACGCTTCCATGAAAATCATGTTTTGATCTTACTAAAGGCTTGCAGTAGCAGATATTCTGACTACTAGCATCTGGTCAGAAAAATTACCACTTTTCGCATAAGAACTCTTCTTCCCCCACCGATGTAAGAATTCGATAAACTAAAAGAATATGGACATCAATGATCTTCAACAGTATATTTTTTCTGATCATAAATATTTCTATGCAATAATGTTAAAATGGCCAGCCACTATTGTAGAAAATTAAACTGGCTCATAACAATATTGAACACCCTTCCCACTAACGTAAAAGTATATTAAAGAAGTGTAAGCAGTAAGAATCATGAAATGTTTTATAGCTGTTCCAGCTTGTTTGAATAACTTTCTTAGGTGAATTCATTAGCATTTCTATAAAAATGCCCGTTCATTTTACAAATAACATTAAAAATGTTTGTGCAAAAACAGTGACAAACGCATCTGAACGAATGCATGAATTTGTGAATCATCCTTTGGTTCCCTGAAATCACAGAAGATGGGATTGGAGGATTATAGTTTTCATATCCACCGTGAAAATTTCTTTTTCGATTTCGGAAAAAATCAGTTCCTAAGACTAAAGAAATTTCTAAAATTGCTAGTTTAATTTTGATTTCGAAGACTTGTAAAGTATAAAAGTTCCCAAACATGTAAGATCTAAAAGTTTGTGAAAATGGTACATTGCTACAAGTATTATATTTTTTGATATTATCCATCGTCCTGTTTATTTCACAAAACACAGCGTTTCGGAGACTGGATTCTGCCCCCGCCCTCAGGTAAAACCTACTCAGTTGGGCTCAGTAGACAGAGCTAGCCCTTCTCTCCGGACTAAAGTTTTTACCTGAGGACGGGACAGAATCCAGTCTCCGAAACGCTGTGTTTTTATAAAGAAACAGGACGGGTTTTTAGAAAATAGACAGGACGATGCATAATGTCCAAAAACATAATACTTGTTCCCAAACATGATTTTGAAAATCCTTCCCCCATTACAAGTACTCGCTGGGGTGAAATTTGTTTTTTAAGTTTGCTTTAAATAAAAAATAAACACAAAGAAAAACGAAAATGAGAAAGATAATTCTCGGCGCACAGTTACTACCAAAACTCCGACGATTATTAAAGAGTAGATGCAAACAAATTAGATTTCCCCACTGGTTATTAGTCCGCATTCCTTATTTTGAAAAAATAGAAGTAGGATTATGCAATCACCATCCTGTTTTCTGCCTGTGTATTCACCATATTAACTCTGAATGGCTGAACGAAACTTCATAAAACTTGGCATGTATATTGTCACGTGTTGGGTAAGTAACGCGACAAATAACTTCACACCGTCTTGGATTTAGTGAATTTATTGAACATTCGCTCTTACAATTACACAATTCACAATTTCCCAATTACTGCCATCAGTAGTATCACACTTACTTCTTACATGCACTCCGGCGAATGCTAGACTGCAACTGACTGGTTACTCTCTCTCTCTCACTGACGAACACTCCTGTTATGTAGCTTCTGCACTGACAACACGGAATACAGTTACGTGATACCTTTCACTGTTGCGTGACGTCGTCTTTACCGATTGCCTAGCAACAGTCGCTGAACGGGCTCCCCTGTTGCGTGACGCCGTGTTTACAAAGGCGTTGCTGGGCAACGCTGCGTAACAACCAGCGCGCTTCGGCTCTACTCGGCACGGTACAGAGAAACACCGCTTTCCTTACTGTTGCATAACTTGGCAACCGACCGTTTATCAAGGGTCTGTCTTCGTGGTGACTCGTTCCAACTCCCGTTGCCCAGCAACGGTTAGACATGTCACAATATGAAGGAATCTGAGCCTGTGTGTCTATACGTGTATCCATCTGCCGTTACTAGGCAACGACTCAGTAAAACGTTACCGCGGCAACGAATATACACTCAGCAAAAATAATTGCTCGTGGCGCAGTTTTCTATGCGGCAAGTATCCTATCAAAGGAAAGTAGGCGAGTAGTTCTTCCCAGAACTTCTTGTCTTAATCTATGAACGTATAGGATACAGCGTATTCCTCTGAAATTTTCTTGTTTTCTTTACGGTTCTTGGTAAATTGGCGTATGTGCATCACAGAAAGAAACAAAAGGAAGATTTCCTACTCATTCTCTTTTGCTAGAACCAAGTGCTGGTTAATTGCAATATTCGACTTGTTCATATTCTGTGTTCTTGGAGGGTATTACAATTTTATCTCGTTAATATCTAAAGTTCAGAAAACTTGTTTAAGTAGTGGACACTTTTAGTTTGTATCGGAGGTTGTAACAGATTCTGAAAATGGGTCGCTCGAAACAGTTGAGAAGTCTGAAAGGCTTATGGTACGTCGTGTTCAAGGTGGAAAATCGTTTCTTATCCATCCCGTACAAATTTCTTGAGACCTCAACGAACTGAAGAAAAGAGCCGTACCATAGGCCCCAACTGCGGTTTCTAAAATGGCCACATGACACTGATACCGGAGACAGGGAGCGTGGGAAGACAACGACCACTATTGGTATAAGTAAAAAAAAAAAAGTAAAGCTATCCCTGTAACAGGCCATGAAGGCCCATAGGGTTGCGAGGCGTTAAGGGTCCCACACTATCTAGACAATCGGCTCAGAGATGGCGGTAAGGTTGTCAGCCTTACGCGCCGACCGCGCTCTACTTCCCAGGAAAATTATTTATTTAATTCCTGGTACTCATTTCTGTTAGAGGCTGAGTGAACCCCAGGGCCGTATCGAAAATTACCGAGTAACCAACAGGTTGGTTAAAAGTAAAGCTCTAGGCCTTTATGCTATAAATTTTCGGTTCGAATCTCTGCTGGGCACTGAGTATCCTCTCTGGGGGGTCTTCGTGATTTACCGCAGTCAATCAAAATAAAGGCGAAGGTCGTAATTCGATTAGATCACGACCGCTTCCTTCCAGATCCCATCCAGTTCATCTGTCAACCTATAATCCGAAGCTATACAGTCTAATCGTATATTCTGATTGCGTCCTTAAATAAACCTCAAAAGTATAAGGGAGTTTGTGAAAGCGCCCGTACAGTGCTTCTTCCATTGTACATGCAATAATCGCGGGTGATAAATTAAAAGCGACTGGGCAGTCACTCAAACTTCACGCGAGATGGCAGCATGTCAACATGTAACATAAAATCAGAGCCCGTCGTTGTGACGAGTTGCAGGGTGTTCGTTAGGGTTCTGACGGATCACAGTCTCGTTCCTTGGAACCCGGTTAACGAGCAGCACGCATTAACCAATCATGGGAATCAATATTTTGATAATCTCTGTAAAACTGGGTATGAATATCATGTCGTCGGTGCCCAAACATTGTATTCTGCATACTTACTTAAACGAGATTAATAAATTAACATATTATTGAGAGGTTACGGTGTCTGTCTCTTTGTTCATCCACAGAAACAGTCTGCATGGCTGTCTCATCCCCGGAAATTGTAGTGTTCTGAATGGTCCTCTCTGTGATCAAAGCAAGGACCTCCATTACAACATGACGACAGTACTGATGTTTGAGGTCCATCTCGCAAAGTTTCCAGGTATGGAGGACCGCAACAGCATGACTTCTCTGAATATCAATTCCAGTCCACTCTCCGCAGAATCGGACGGAGTGTGACTGCTGACTGCAAAATGCAAAGTCATTCGACTGCTTGAAACCCAAAATAATAATTTGATGAGAAATGAACTTGGACGTTGAAATGCTATTTGAAGTCAGAGCATGACTGCTTCGAAGTTACTATTATCAGGTACAACATACAACCACAAGAACACATATGGACAGGTCAGATTTGTAGCCGTTAAATGTGACGCCTCCTTCTGTAGGGCAAAGTGTACCTGCACTAGCCAGCCAGTGTTAGCCACTGTTAGCTTTCTGGCAATTGGATGTTCAATAAGCGAAGGCCGTACTTCGGATACCCGATGGAAGTGGCGAGGAAATGAATTCTCTCGTGTTGAGCGAAATATACCTAGCTAATTCTGAGCCCATACTCCGGCACCTCAACACATGGCGGTATCGGTGTCACACCGAGAGGACGCTGGATGCTGATGCAAGTCAGTGCTGGGCCTCGAACGAAGCGAGGACGCGAACTTACCGTTACAGGAAGTCACCATTTAACATAAGATTTCCACCGCCAATATAAACCTGACAGCTGGAGTGTGGAAGTCATTAATGAATTAGTCCTGTGGTTAGCACCAGAAACACGAATTCGTTGCTAGGTAATGCAGAAACACGAGAAACACGTACTGCCGGAGATTACGAGAAAGCAAGACTGTCGCACGTGGAATGTTTGTGCATGTCTGTTGTCATTTATTTCAAATATAAAGCCTCTTATACAGAGAAGTGTGTATACATTGATCTGTTCAGCCAACCTGAGAACTGGCCTCAATGCGTGTGGTTAGAAAGTGGCCAGGAGTGTCAAAGTAAAGATAGTTCCGGGTCTGTCCTCACCAGGGCTGCTTGCTTTGCAAAGTGGAGGCGATGCGCTAATTATTAATGAGAAGTTTTCGTCATGAGACGGATACATACGTAATGAGCGCAACAGATGAAGTAACTGAGCAGGGGTCCGATGTCAGCCCATCGGGTTATCTGCTATGGTGTTTATGTTGGGGGCGCTGTACCTTGTCTTCCTACAGTACAATCGACGGATTTACATTATTCACGCCTCATATTGTGTTTTTACCACGATATCTGCTCCAGGACAACTGTTCATCTGCTGTATACTGCAAGTATTCAAACATTTACCGAAAGCTCGTTCTTTCTGCGTTAAATTGGTCAGAAAGCTAAACTCCCACTAATACATTATGCTCACCTCTGCTTTGGCCCGAGCTGAGAGTTCGTGGAACTTAAACCTATAAAAAATAAATAAGATTCACCTTCCAGCTGGTCTGGCCCCAGAGAAATTGTCCCACTCTCACACTCTAATGGGATCGGAACCAGAGTCTCTTCCCCGGAAGAAAGTCAAAACCAGTTGCTCAGTCCCTTTTTTAAAAGAGCTGACCCTGCTCGTAATAGTTTCAATAAAGGTAACTACAATATCAACACAGACAAAGAAGAAAATGAAGAAGAGTGAGTTCCACAGAAGGCGGAAAGCATTTTCATTTAACGCGATACGTTGCCATAGAAGGATCGAGGGAAGCCATGATGTAGAGCCACTCTGGAGTCGACTGCACATGATCGTGTAACGCCAAATTTTGTCACTCACTGGAGCCAGCAGAGTAAAGTACATATTGGTATTATTGGCAGTTTAAGAAGCAACCATCTACTTTTTTTTTTCCTTGGCACTACAGCCCCAGTGGGCCTAGGCCTACCTCCATGAACTTCTCCGTTCACTTCGGTTTTACTAGATCTTAGACATACGGTAGGACTCCTTGGGAGGGTGATCAGCTCGTCGCAAGGCCTCTACCTGTACACAAACACAGAAAAACGCACATAAACATCCATGCCCTGAGTGGGATTCGAACCCACGACCCCGGCTTCCGGCGAGCGAAGACAGTGCACGCCTTAGACCGCTCGGCTACCGTGACCGGCAACCATCTACTTACTGTTCGTATTTTTAAGTAGCTTAGGCTTTTCGGACATGTTACTGGAGCTCAGTTGTACCCATCCCACAAACATGGACTGTCACATAATAGTAGCCATCTGGTTTGCTGTGGCATGAAACCGGACCGAGGGGCGTTGCGCCCCGCCCATACACACCCTCCTTGACTACATGGGAAATCTCGTTCCGCATGGAGGGAAATTTATTCAGAACAAGGATCGTGCTTTGTACTTCTTGATCCAAGGTCGGGTGATTCTTTTTGCAAATTGTTCACTTAGTACAGGTTTGATTCCGAGCTTAGTCTGCCGCCGTCCCTCCGAGTAAGTGTATCGACCTCCTTCTTTATACGTTAACGTTTCGAAACTTGTGCGTGTGAAATAGACTCCCTGAATTACGTAAGAAAGGAATGGTCAGCCCACCAACTTCACTGTCCCAAGAGAACTGGATAAGTGCAAGGTAAAGGTAAAGCTATCCCGGAGGCCCATAGGCTTGTGAGATGTCGAAGCTCCCACATTTCCTACATAATCGGCTCATAGATGGCGGTGAGTTTGTCAGTCTCACGCGTCAGCCGTCCTTTACCTCCAGGAGGATTCCTGGTACTCATTTCTGTTAGAGGCTGAGTTGACCTCAGGGTCATCGTGCGGCTGGAAGGATTAGGTAGATTGAAAAAATTCAATGACCTAATCTGAAATCGAACCCGCGACCTTGCGGTTTCAATCAACTACGCTACCTCGTGCCCCCCGGATGAGCTGTGTAGTAGGTTCCTTAATGATGATTACAGTACTGAGATCTTGTAACACTGGATGGTGAACTGAAGATGACTGATGAATTGTAAAGAATTGGGAAGGAAGTGCCTGAAGCATAGCATAGGTTAGATCCCGGCATTTACCGGTCAGAATAATTCCGGCAGAGATTCGAATGGAGCACCTTCGGAATGCAAGTCATCTTTACCAACCTGCTCGTTGATAAGCAGACTAAATCATACTTTTTCATTGTGTATTTTCCATGGTCTCAACTTTAATGTCTCGTTGTCTGATATTCCGATCAAGTATAGATTAATAGTTCTGAGTTCGAATAGTTTCTACATCAAGCCAGTAACTAAGAGTGTAGAATCCATTGCGAAGACAGGAAAGGATTTCTTGTCTAAGTTCTGTTGCGAACGACCGCGCATTATTTCTGTTTTTGTAAATTGCTCACTTTCTCATTTTAAATGCAAATGTTTCGCTGCTGGAAATCTTTTTTTCCATCAGATTTATATATTTTAACGGTACTCTGTCATCGAATTATTTTATTCCGCCAGAATCCTCTGCTGTATTGCGAGCGAGGAACCATCATGAGCTGCAGGATGCAGCCACCTGCTCAACGCTGGTTCCTCGCTCGCGGATTTCTCTACTCTGAAGATGGAAGCGATACGTTCCACTGAAACGTCGGTTCACATAAGATCTACACGGCGCCATATCCCAGAAGAGGGCATTCTAAATTTGTAATCTTCGTAAGGAAGACATTGTGATAGATTCGGGGTGCCAAGTCTTCCAAATGACTAGACAATGCAGATAAAGTAAAGAGAAGTAAACGCGCTGTGAACCCAATCTCTTCTCCCTGCAGACACTGCGCTCTGTCCGGAAGCATATGTTGCCCCGATAACAGATATGATATATATATGAGCTCGTGTGGCAGAATGACTCCCCACGGAATAAGTTCGCTGTGATCCAGAGTTCAAACCTGTCCTACTTCATACAAAGCTCCAAGAATGATATGATGGCTGCCCTTTCTGCTTTGTGTCCTGGAGATATCCAAGTTGGGGTCATGGCTAACCTCGGATCTATGCTGATTTCCCCTCACTTCCTGGGTGAATGATAAATTCTTGAAAAACTCCTTGACAAACATCTCATTCACTTTCCATATAACCTCTGTGCTCACAGTTGATATTATTAATATATTTTATATGAAGAACGAGAAGTAGCGGAAGGAACCTCATGACAACACGAGTAACACAGAATCAACAAAACTATGGATTGTAATCTTCCTCAATTAATAGATTTAATCGAGTTGCTGGTAGGGTATGAAAACCTTGATTTGATGACGGTGATGGGGCCAATTTATGGTTGTGGTAAGTTTTTCTTTTGAAAGTCTGACATGTCTTCCGTTTGAAATGTGAATTGTGTCCATACCAAGAGAAACTTTTCATTGACATATTCGCAAAACAGTATAATAAACGGCTGTCAGACAAAAAAGAAAGATTATTAATTTTTAAAATAATGTTTAATTCGAATGTGATGCAGTTTCCTTCTTCAATGCGAAAGTGATGAATTGAAATATAAGTTTTGACATACATGCATTCATTCAGTTTGACCTAAGTCCCACAAAGTTTCAGCACAAACCGACGTTGCTTGCATTGTGTTCTTGTAGGGAAACAAACAATTCACTTAACGATGCACATGTGTGTTCTAAATATGCTATTTAATCACATTTTGTTATTAAAGCGTGAACTTTCTCATCCTGGTGAATTTTTATAGATAAAGCGGATATGAAATGAACGTTTTAATGATTTCGCCGACACCGATAACTCTGCGCCTGTCAGAAGAAACACATGCTCTTACAAGTTTTACTAAAATCGGACGAAGTCTAGCGAGGAGCCCTGCAATCAGCTTCGTATAAACGACATTTTTACCGGATCAGGGACTGTGTGAAAGACATGAGTTACAACATGATTGCTTTCAGTGCAGCCGACACAAACAGTATCTGAGCGTCTTGTGCTGGAAGGCGGGCCGAGCAATTCAGCATGAAGCTCAGTACTAACTTAACTGTCTGATCGAAGCAAAAGCAAAACAGAACACGACTGCTCACTTCCCGCTCCATCACTCGCAGTCATTCTGTAATCCACTCTTGACGAAATATTTTAATGTTATATAGTCTGAACTAATGGCAGTGCAGTTTTAAAACCCATACATACATACGAGGGGGTACCCAAAAGAAACCGAACTTATTTTTTTTTAAACTTATTTATTCAAATTTTAAGCACAAACCTTCAATCCCCTTCAAAGTACTCTCCACTTACACTAGTACACTTGTCTAGTCTTTTATTCCATTTTTCAAAACATTGTCTAAATTCATCTTTTGAGATGCTTGACAGCGCCTCCGTCGTTTTTTCCTTTCATGTCTCTTTTCATTCGAGGAAACAAAAAAAGTCGCACGGATCGAGGTCGGGTGAGTATGGAGGGTGAGGAACAGGGGTCATACCATTTTGGGTCAAGAATTGTCGTAGAGACAGGGCTGTGTGAGCAGGGGCATTGTCATGATGGAAAAACCAGTCTCCCGACTGTCACAAATCTGGCCGCTGAACTCCAAGTCACTCCCGACAGC